AAAGGCAGGCAGGCTGTAACAGGGGGTAACAGGTGTAACTGGGAGAAGGAGAGAGATTTGGCCCCAGAAAGATAGATTCCCCTTCACCTGTAAATCCTCTTACGTAAGCCATCCCCACATGGGTAAGGACAGATACTGGGGTGCTCCTAGTGTACCCCAGCTTGGTGGTGCCTGTCCTGTCTCTCAAAGCAGTGTCTGGGCAGACAGCTGGGGTCCCCACGCGCAGGCTCATGTGTGTTGAGTGAAGGGACTGAAACACCGACTGTGCTGTCTGTGTCAGAGCTCATCCCACGTTCCATGGCATCGAGCCCTCAGAGGGCACGTGGTCCCGTCACAGAGCCTTTCCCCAGCAGGGCTGGTCCCCACCTTTCCACTGGGGTACAGCCCCTCCCTCCAGGTACAACTGCAGTGTCCGCAGCAGGAGTTCGAAGCCACAATCCCAGACACCCACCCACCATGCTGCCCTCTGGAACTGGCAAGAGGCAGACAGAATACAGCAGTGCAGTGGAAACAGGAAATACTGGAAACAAGAGGAGCCAAAACAACACGCACATGTCCCAATCAGGCTAGAGCAGCAAGAGGACAACGTTGGTTGTCACTGGTGCCTTTATTGAGGCTGCTCTCTACATGGACGGACAGCACGGGTTTGAAAAGTAAGGCTTTGATTGAATTGTCAGAGCTCCACAAACAAGCACCCAGGACTGAAACTACACTAAATTTCCCTCATGGGGTCAATAAAGTATCTATCATCTATCTAAAGAACACAAGAAGATATATCTTCTTACAGGTGTGAGCAGTGGAGTGTCTCAGGTGACAGGTGTGAGCAGTGGAGTGTCTGATTGGGCAGGTGTGAGCAGTGGAGTGTCTCAGATGTCAGGTGTGAGCAGTGGAGTGTCTCAGGTGACAGGTGTGAGCAGTGGAGTGTCTCATGTGACAGGTGTGAGCAGTAGAGTGTCTGATTGGGCAGGTGTGAGCAGTGGAGTGTCTCAGATGTCAGGTGTGAGCAGTGGAGTGTCTCAGATAACAGGTGTGAGCAGTAGAGTGTCTGATTGGGCAGGTGTGAGCAGTGGAGTGTCTCAGGTGACACGTGTGAGCAGTGGAGTCTCTCAGATGTCAGGTGTGAGCAGTGTAGTGTTTCAGATGTCAGGTGTGAGCAGTGGAGTGTCTCAGATGACAGGTGTGAGCAGTGAAGTGTCTCAGATAACAGGTGTGAGCAGTGCAGTGTCTCAGATAACAGGTGTGAGCAGTAGAGTGTCTGATTGGGCAGGTGTGAGCAGTGGTTGTGAAGATCAGACACACTGCCTGCTATGAATCTGTTCATTTTGACTCAGGGTTCCCAATATTCTGGCCACTGAGTGTACATGTACATGCTGGAAATGTAAATGATATTCCTAGAGTTCTCATTGAGTGATGTTGATAAATGTTGTTTTGTGTCATGTTATTGTACTGTTGTTGCATTGTATTTATGTCGTATATAGTATGTTATATTTTTATGAGCTCTTGATCTGCAAGACAAATTCCCTTAGAGCCAATAAAGATTGATTAACTAAATTATAAATACACAGTTCAGTACAGAAAGAGACAAACATGGCCACATCTCCCTAGACTGAAACACAGACCACAATGAATGTGGTTAAGATTTAACTCCCAGATCTAATCATTCTTACCCAGAAATTGCTCCATGATTCAGTCAGGCAGTGCTATCTTTCCAAGCACTGCAGATAAGAGAAAGTTACACAATGTGAACCCTGACCCACAGCTGAAGTATTAGCTTCCAGAAAGATACCGTGCTGCAGTTTGATGCAGGACTGAATTGATATTAATTTCTCTGTCTATTAAGTAGCTGTCTGGTTATGCAATGAGTTGAAGATTATTATGAGGCGTCAAAGGTATGGTTCTGTATGGAACAGTCCTGGCTTGCCTTTCACTTAGACTCCTCGACAGGGAAGATCAGACCTTCTCTGAGTGTAGCCCAGTGCGCTACAGTGACACACTGAGCACTCCTGTCTGAGTGTAGCCCAGTCTGCTACAGTGACACACTGAGCACTCCTGTCTGAGTGTAGCCCAGTGCGCTATAGTGACACACTGATGATTCACATCAAATAAATATAATTTTTTTCTTGCATCCATTTTCTAAGTACTCCAGTTCAGGGTTGTGGGGGAGTCGGAGTCTATCCCAGTAAGCAGTGGGTGAAAGGCACAGCACACCCTGGATGGGACACCTGTCCATCACAGTGCACACAGAAACACACACACACCAGGGCCTGTTTTCCCAGAAGCTAATTAACCTGACAGTATGTCTTTGGACTGTGGGAGGAAACCAGCATGAACACAGGGAGAACATATCAACTTCACACAGACAGCACCCCAGGAGTTAAATCCATGGTCTTAACAAGGCTAACCGCTTGTGCCACCTGATTTATATCTCCGTTAGTACTACCAATAATAAGAATAATGGAACAAGTCATAGGTTTATTCCAGGCTGAAAAGAGGAGAAAGAAAACACAACGTTTTGGCCGTGGAGCCTTCTTCAGGTGTGAGGGTGTGTGTGTAAGCTCACACCTGAAGAAGCCTCCACGGCCAAAACGTTGTGTTTTCTTTCTCCTCTTTTCAGCATGGAATAAACCTATTACTTGTTCCTTCGCAGCCTAAGCATGCTGACGCAGCTACCCAGCTGAAGTGTAATACTAATAATAATGTCACAGGAGCAGTATTATCAGTTGAGGTGATCCCACAGTAATCGAGTCCCTGCCCAGGCCGATATGACCTCCCACCACCAGGTGGCGCGATACCGTCCCGAGAGCCGCGCACAGCGCCCCGCCAACAAATAAAGCAGGTTATGGTTTAACTTCCGCTTCCGTAAGCAGGAGACGGGGATAGAGAGGGTGGGAGCTGGAGGTGTACACAAATCTAAAACATGAATCATTGAGACCGGCGTTAAAGGCAAGACTTCGGGAGAACTTTCGGTAAGAAAACGAAGACGCTATGAGTGACTTTAGCGCAGGAGGTGAATGAGAAGATAACGTTAGTGTTGTGTAGTTGCCCTGGTCGTGTAGTGGTGTACGTGTGTGTAAGCTGTGTGTTTGTGTGTTGGGTGTAGCGCTGAGTTTATATCAGCATCTTTCTGTGCTGATATAAAAGATTTTCTGCGTTAGATAGTAAAATTACTAGAGATCACTGCTCTCTCCAGCAGAGAGAAACTACGGGGGCTCATCGGTCTCCCTGTTAGTAAACTTCCCGGGGCTCACCGCTCTCCCTGTTAGTAAAATTACTGGGGCTCCCCGGCTTCTGTCAGAGACAGCGAAATTAATTCTCATCTGTACAAGAGCTTGCAGCAGGTTAACGCTGGAGAGGCGCAGACTGCTGGGCAGTGGGAGTTTGCCTGCCTGTCCTACCTGCAGCCACTTCATGAAATGAGTCTTGAATTGGTTTGCTCAACCAGCTATGCTCAAGACTTTCTTATAATGGAGCATGTCACCAGCTCTGGGGTGTGTAGTCACTCAGGGCGTGTGTGCCCTCCATCAAGAGAGTTTATCTGTCTGAATGTGCAAGGAAGCTGAGTCTCCCTTCATTCGGAGTATTCCTGATCCTGATTCCCAACAGAGACTACTTAAGGCCATCCAGAGGCCAGAAAGCCCTTTTCCAGTCCTGGCTCTGTATCGGCCCTGTCTCTGCGCATCACTCTGATGGTGCTGTGTTCTCTGGCTCTCTGCAGTCTGCAGCTGAGCTTCTTTCACTGGCTCTCCGGGTCTTCACTCGAGCTGAGCTCTCTTGTGCTCTCCGGACACTGGAGCGAAAAGGATGTGGCGTTTGAGCTGCCCTGTGGGGTTTATCGGCTGTTACAGGGACGCAGGTAGATTCTCCAGGAGGCCCCTGGCAGCAAGCAGAGGACTTTAAACAACTTGACACCCCAATGTCTTTAAAACGCCCCACACTAGGGGGCTGATCTGAGACGCCGTCGCAATCAACAGAAACTGAATCGGACGAGTTTCAGAGATTCCCTGAGCTTCTGTGCCAGGAAGAGTGGTTGAGTCCTGAGACTTCAACTCTGCTTTTATTTGTTGCTGCGAGTCTAGGAAGGGGCTTTGCTGGGCCAAGGTGTGGAGAAACCAGGCTTGCCAGGGAGAGCAGTGTGTCTCCTCCTCTGGCTCAGGCGGACAGGCCTGCGGTCGCGTCTGGGCGAGAGGCTGAGAAAGTCTCACGCCTGCAGCACTTCCTGCCCCAGCTGCATCTTGGGAGCGGGCCGGTGCACCGTGGGATACGTGCCGCAGCTTGGCGCCGGCGCCATCTTGACCTGCTCTCTGTCCTAGGCTGGGCCAGCGATGTCGGGGCTGAAGCGCCCTGCTGACCCCCTGACCTCCGGGCCCCCCGAGAAGCGGCGGGAGCGAGAGAGGGAGGGGGAGAGGGAGGCGGAGGACGGGGGAGCTGCGGGCGGCAGCACCGCTGTGGAGACGGTCATCAAGCTGGGGGGAGTGTCCAACACTGTGAGTCCCACCCCCTGTCCGACATCAGGCCATCACCCTGGCTCTGTCAGCTGTCCATACACTGTCTCCTACCAGACTGATATTGTGAAGACGTCTTGTTACACATTTCTCTCAGTGCAGTATTAGTGTCCTGGAGTGTCCAGTCAGTGTGTCTGGACTGTATTAACCCCTCTCTCTCAGTGCAGTGTTAATGTACTGGAGTGTCCAGTCAGTGTGTCTG